CAACAAAGTGAGACTCTGTCTCAAAAAAAAAAAAAAAAAAAAAGCATGAGCATTAGAATAATCTGGTGACAAAAATGGAATTCCTCTTGATCTGGGCATAAAATAAGTCATTTTACACAAAAGTCCTAATTCTAATTTTATTCTTTTGATATATTATTTACATAACAAACTGTAGTAAAGGATATATACCTCTTTTTGTATGCATCGAGAAAGACATAGATATGCAAACATAGATATGTGATAAAGTTTTAAACTATAGCTTTAAAGAAAGTGTAATTATCAGTATATTAGACAAAACAGTATGTGTCATATTAAATTTATTATGTGAATGAACTGCACTTTTAAAAATACACAAACAGAAAAATCACATCTTGTACAAGTATCTATCTGTTTCTGCAATCCTGGTACCCAATATAACTAGCTATCTTTGTCAATTACTATCTTTAATTAAAGTAATAATTCTTTTCTTTTTTTCATCTAGACATAAGAGACACCTAGAGGACAGAAAGTTAAAAACCACTCAGGTAATTTTTTATGAACGTTCATCTCATGCTAATTAAAAGCTTTAAGAAGACAAATACAAATAAATATGTATTATTATCCAAATGCATTGATGTATTTTGTTAATCCACCGACATTTTAAGAACGAAGAGCAAATTAAAATTATGTTTAGTAAGAAGTATATTTTTTTGTTGTTTTTTTGTTTTTTTCTTTTTAGGAAGACTGTGTCTTTGTGTTTTGCTGTCCTTAAATTTATCTTGCTTTACTACGAAAAGCAATACGCAGGACTTTTGAGAGGGATGTCTGAGACTGAGTTTGACTGCACTAATACAAGCCCTTTTCAATGTTACTACTTAGTTTGATTTTTGTTTTTCAGGTTTTTGTTTTTTTTTTTTTTTTGAGACAGAGTCTCGCTTTTTTGCCCACGCTAGAGTGAGTGCCGTGGCGTCAGCCTAGCTCACAGCAACCTCCAACTCCTGGGCTCAAGCGATCCTCCTGCCTCAGCCTCCCGAGTAGCTGGGACTACAGGCATGCACCACCATGCCCGGCTAATTTTTTCTATATATATTAGTTGGTCGATTAATTTTTTTCTATTTATAGTAGAGATGGGTCTCACTCTTGCTCAGGCTGGTCTCGAACTCCTGACCTGGAGCAATCCTCCCGCCTCAGCCTCCCAGAGTGCTAAGATCACAGGCGTGAGCCACCGAGCCCGGCCTCCAAGACTTTTCTTGTCTGTGTGATTATAGGAGTGTTTGTCTAGGTTAACACTGTTTATGTAGCATAGTGGTCGGCCAAAGCATTACCATGAGTTTCTAGGTCTTGGCTTTTCAATGGCTGTATTTTTTTTATAGCTATTTTCTTAGGTAATAGCAAAGCATCTGAAAGTTCTTTAATTCATCATCCAATTTGTACAGGTTTTTTTTCAAAGTTAGAAACACCTTTGTTTCTAAATAATTCCGAATTTGTGGGCTACCGGCAAAACACATTTACTATCGGTATGAATATTTAGGTTTTTATTTTTTTTCTTGCTGTCAAGCCAGGGTGAGGACAATGACGATAGTTACATGAACTGACTTAATTTTTGGAAGTTGTGTATGTTTTAAGGGTGAATTTAACACTGTGATAGCATCTTTAACATTGAACAAATAAAATTATAATAGCTGAAAACTATCAGAGAAACTGTCTAAGAGAATAGTTGAAGACTATGCAAAAATGGAACTCCTCTTGATCTGGGCATAAATTAAGTCATTTTACACAAAAGTCCTAAATTCTAATTTTATTCTTCTGGTATATTATTTACATAACAAATTGTAGTAAAGGATATATACCTCTTTTTGTATGCATCGAGAAAGACATAGATATGCAAACATAGATATGTGATAAAGATTTAAACTATAGCTTTAAAGAAAGTGTAATTATCAGTATATTAAACAAAACAGTATGTGTCACATTAAATTTATTATGTGAATGAACTGCACTTTTAAAAATACACAAACAGAAAAATCACATCTTGTACAAGTATCTATATGTTTCTGCAATCCTGGTACCCAATATAACTAGCTATCTTTGTCAATTACTATCTTTAATTAAAGTAATAATTCTTTTCTTTTTTTTCCTGTAGACATAGGAGACACCTAGAGGACAGAAAGTTAAAAACCACTCAGGTAATTTTTTATGAACCTTTATCCCATGCTAATTAAAAGCTTTAAGAAAACAAATACAAATAAATATGTATTATTATCCAAATGCATTGATATATTTTGTTAATCCACTGACATTTTAAGAACGAAGAGCAAATTAAAATTATGTTTAGTAAGAAGTATATTTTTTTTGTTGTTTTTTTTTTTCTTTTTAGGAAGACTGTGTCTTTGTGTTTTGCTGTCCTTACATTTATCTTGCTTTACTACGAAAAGCAATACGCAGGACTTTTGAGAGGGATGTCTGAGACTGAGTTTGACTACACTAATACAAGCCCTTTTCAATGTGACTACTTAGTTTGATTTTTGTTTTTCGGTTGTTTTTTTTTTTTTTTTTTT